ATAACAATTCTTACAACACTTATTAGAAAAGTGCTGTAAATGACATCTCAATTAAAAATAAACAATTGCACACACAATATTCCCTGCCCCTATTTCTTAATTTGGTTCTGTATAAGGAAAAAAACCCAGTTTGTGGTTTTTTTAAATTTGGATGCCAAATTTAAAAAAATACACAGCAAATAGTGCCCAGTCCCACACCTGGGGAGGGATCAGCTTGAAGGAAGACGACTGAAGGTCTCCTGCAGGCAGGTAAGCAGCAGCGGTGCCGGAGGCCCTGGGTGACACCAGCGTGGTGGGACGGTGACACCCCATCACACTTGTCATTAGTCCCATGGTAAGCAAACGACAGGCACAGTAAGTTGTCAAAACCACGCTGGCTTACGGAGGAATTGACAGGCAAGATTTTCTAATTTATAAACCAAATTCCTACTTGTGACAGGTGATGAAACCTAGCTTTTTGTAAACGTGTTTTAAGTCTCTTTCTCCCTCATCCCCTCTTTTAGGCAATAAAATCATCTAATTATTTTGTTTGGTTTTATAAATCTGGTTCAAAGTCCTTATGGGAACGCTCACATTGAGAACACAACCAGGAGCTGCGTATTCATTAGAAAGGACTTTCTCCTTGTGTTTTAAAAAATACATGGAAGATCTTCCACCTATCCTGGGTTTACTTGACATTTTGCTTTTTGAAAAATTGGCCTCATTGGTGGTAGCTTGAGGCAGCAATATTGCACCAAATCTCAATGATCCGGACCTGCTTGGTGCTACCCCATTTGAAAGCAAGTCTCCATCTGCGCGTGGCACCCAACAGCTGCCGAGCTGCTGCGGTTTCGGCAGTGGCCACCAGAAATCTGAGTTAAGGGTCAGGGTCTGTGGAGCAAACAAGGACTGGAAGGGAAATTACGGGGGAGACTGCCAAGGAGGAGCAGGTGAAGGGGGCACGCTGGTCCTGTAGCCCCCAGCTCTCCTCAATCCCTCTGGAGAGCATCACAGGGTTTAAAGTCCTGGTGCAAAGGTTACTCCATGAGCAGGAAGGGCTGCATCTTAGAATCATGGAATGGTTTGGGTTGGAAAGGACCTTTCAAGGTCATCTAGTCCAACCCCCCTGCCATGGGCAGGGACATCTTCAACTAGATCAGGTTGCTCAGAGCCCCGTCCGACCCGACCTTGAATGTTCCCAGGGATGGGGCATCTACCACCTCTCTGGGCAACCTGTGCCAGGGTTTCACCACCCTCAGTGTAAAAAATTTCTTCCTTAGATCTAGTCTGAATCTACCTTCGTTTAGTTTAAAACCATTAGCCCTTGTCCTATCACTACAGGCTCTATTGAAAACTCTTGTCCCCCCTTCACCCGGCGTAAACCTTAAACAGGCTGAAACAGCCCCTTCGAGGGAAAGCACACCGGGATCAGCTGCCATAGCTCAGTTCTGCTCGCATCAGCCAGGTACGAGCTGTTTGCTGGCCGTAGATCTCCTGTTACAGCCTCCTCTGCCATACAGCACAGATGGATTAATAGCAGCTTTCTACTTTTTAGGTTACAGCTGATCCGAAAGTCCCCAGAAGAAAGGGAGAGTTTCCTAAGTAGCATGACTGACAAGACTGCAAAGAGGGAGTTTATTCAGAGCATTATCTAATTCATTCCCTGGCGAAGGAAACTCATCTGCTTTTGAGACTTAAAACTTCTAAAGAAAACTGCTATGATCTAAAGAGATTGGCCATAAAACTATTTGTATTGAAAACTTAGCCAGCATGCCTTTAGTGAACTTCATTCATTAACATTCTTCCTGGCAAGGTTTCCATATCTCAGCGTGCATTTTATACTTTAATTTGGTTAGTAGGTCTTTGTTTAATCGTCCTATTGAAAGGAGAACAAAGAAGGTTTAGGTGATACAGTGAAGTAATACACTATATTTTATCTCTGGAAAGCCCAGACAAAGTCAGCAGGCTCTGATACCCTCCGATTTCGGGTTTGTTTTTTTTTTTTCTTTTCCCTTTCTCTTCCAGGACATTTGGAATCACAAATCAGTTGCGGAGCATAAAGATCCTCACTGTACTTAGCTGCAGACACCTTCAGAAGAGAAACACCTTGTCAAGCAGAGAAATGATGCTTTGAGCACGACATACAGCCCCGAAAGAAGATTATCTCAGGCAAAGTGCATCCCCATTACTCCGGGGATGGATGCTCTGCATTTATATCTCTGTTCTCCACTAAAAATCTGTAGTCAAGATAGTTTCTCCCATTTCTGAGCTTTGCGCTTACCATCTCGATATTAACGTCACGGTTTTGTCTAGGTGCAAAACTCATTAACAAGTTGCAGTTTTGCCTAATGACTAACACGCTTTGCAGCGAGCACCCAGCACCGCCGTTTTCTCCAGCGACCCGCAGGCACAGGCTGCCCTCAAGGAGGATTTACAGGATAAAAAGGATAAAAAAGCCCCGCCTCGTTTCACAATAAACGGAGCTGCTCCCCAGCCCCAACATCGGCCGCACGAGTGGGCAGCTCCTGGGCTGGTGTAAACTGACACAGCTCCAACTGACTCCCAACTGACTCCAGATAATAATCTGGCCCCAAAGTAAAGGCAGGATTCAACAAGCTTTTTTCACGGAATACCTTTTAGGCTCTTTTCTTGAATATTTGCTACCAATACTCGCTGTACCGCTTAAATCCACCACGTACGGTGCATCAGTAAAGGGGGGAAAATTGTATCTGTCTTCTTTTTATACCACGGGCAGATGACGAGTTGTCTTCTCACTGGAAACTCTAATTCTTTACTCTCTAAACTTTTAACCAGTTCTACTCCAGCTACCCATGGAAATAGATGTTTTCCAGAGGTAAACAGTGCTCACAACGGACTTTCCTCTTGGATGAAGCTGCCCTGAGGCAGGAAAACCATTCAGAGACACTGATGCTCTCCCATGACATCCAACGAGCAAACCAGCCTGCAACCCACCCACCGTGCCCTCTTCCCATGGACAGCGGTGTCCAAAACCCAAACCATAAATGGATTCAGAGGAACACAAATGCCCAACCATAAAATCAAGCAGCACACCAAGGGAGCAGCCCTAACTCTGGCAGAGTTTATGGAGAAGAAACACAACCCGTGAAGTTACGGCAGCAAATACAAACATCTGGGGAAGCAGCTGGGCTTGGTTAGCGTTGGGTGGTACGAGGGGCTGTAAGGAAGGTCCATGCCACACGGCTGCTCAGGGGGTAACTATTTTTGGAAGCTGATTATTCTTTTATACCACCAATTCCCGATACACATCAGCGTAAGTGAAAGGGGAGGCAGGCTGTGCACGGCTATGGACCAAGGCTGGCTTCAAACCGATGACCTGGAGGTGAAGGGCCCCTTCTCCCGTTACTAATCCCGTCAGCCACACAAGCCTCCTGAAAATGATGCTTTGGTTTTATTGCTACAGGGGTCATTTATAAAATCATAAAACCCAGGATAGGAAACCAACCCGGCAGCAGCAATGCACAAGCATGCATAGAAATAGCTGAACGGCCATCGAAACGGCAAAGTTCAGCCCTCCCACGGCACCTTGAATAATTTAGTTGATTAAATGTGAGAAGTTTTGATTAACGGAGGGCAGGAGAAAATGGATAAACAACTTACCAAAAGCTAGTTCTTTATTATTGCAACCAGAAATGACCAAAGACTGTGGTTTTTGTATGTCTGCACATTACACATGGAAAAAACCAAGAATCAGGTTTGCAACATCCAAGAATTCAAAATAAGAAAAAAAAAAACAAAACAAAACCCAAGAACTTTCTTGACTGGTAATTAGCAGGGACAGAATATAAATGAGGTGGCATTGAACAAAGAAAATAACAGTGCAATTTTAATAAACCAATTTCATCCATATCTCCACTGATTCGCAATTTAACAGTTCTATCAGCAAAGCCTCATTTCCCTAACTAGACTGGTACTTTTAAAAACATGACTAATTCATTCTCCTTAATACCAATTTGGATGCATTTAAAAAATAACTCTTAATATCTGCGCAACAGGTTAAAGGGCCATATTCTCAAACATCAGATGTTTCTCATTGTACAGTTTAAAGAAGAAATATCCCCAAATTAACCAACAAAGTCTAAATTCGCTTTGGAAACAAAATGCGTAATTTTTTTTTCCAGGTTCATTCTTATATTTTATTTAGCTCTGAGACCCACTGCACTACAATATTTAATACTGCCTTACTATTTTTTTTCTCTGGAATTTCCCCCCTCATTTTCAACGGGGAATACAACTCGTATTCACTTTACTGGTCTTTCCAAGGGGATACGCAAAACACAGTAATACATCTTCTGTGTGATGCCATTCTGCATCTCCTCCATCTAAATACGAGCCCGGTCGTTTTGGCAAACTCACCACCACTTGTTTTAAAAAAAAAAAGAAAAAAGAAAAAAAAGCTCAGTTCCAGCTACAGATTAACACGCTGTAGCTACCATTAAAAGTGCAGAGCCCCCTGGCCTAAGCTCTCAATTCAGAAGGCATTTAAGCACATGTATAACGAAGTGTGGGAACAGGCTCCTTGAAGGCAATAGGATTACTCACTTCTTAAGAAGTTACCACATGTTTAAGTATCTGAATCGAGGCCTAATTATGGTGCTGGCCGACTCCTCGTGTGTGCACCACTGGGGCAGATCTCACCAATCCCTTAAAGCCGTAAGGACAGGCGTATGTCGCACGGGCTTTTAGTAGCTGCTAGGTTTGTATTCTCAGGCAAACAAACCCAAAAATCCTCAGCAAAAAAAAAAAAAAATTAAAAAAAAAAAAGTACTTTATAAATATCAGGTATTTACATGTGTGAAAATCTTTTAATGGGAAGTGTTTTTACACACCAATGAAATGTACAAGCAATGAAAAGGTACATTGACAAAGACTAAAAAACAAAAACCAAAGTATAAAATATATTACAGGTCCACCGAAATAAATTCACACGGAAGAAAAAAATTGACACAATAGAAACTTTTTTTTTTAAAAAATAGAAGATATATCACAAAAGCTTGAACATGTTTATTTTATGTTAGTACTAAAAATCAAGGAAAAAAGCTTCATATATTCTCATCACAAAAATATTTACCAGCCACTTTTTATTTCCACATTATGATTATCTGGCTCAGCAGGAGTAGAGGCTGAACTGCATCCAGACTACAGAAATCATTCCAGAAGGTCTCCTCAGTTTACAACTTACTGCAATTTACATTTTCTCCTCCTCTCGGCACCTTACTGCAAAGGTTCAGGAGGGTTTAATAACAAATGGAGAAAGAATAGGACAGATATCTGTATTTACAACATTCATCTTTGTTGCTGCCGAGCCACAGGAGCAGGAGCGGTACCATGAACTACCGAAGTCTTCATATCGCTCTGTGCAAATTTCCCTCGGTAGGTGAAAGACAGCATCAGAATGTACCAAAATCCAACCCCCTGGGCTCAGACGGTCTGCGAAACGCAACAGCCCCTGAGGGAGAGCATCTCCTCGCCCCTGATTCACTCCAGAGTCACAACCCCAGCAGTCGGTGACGGAGGGTGAGACACGAGCAGGCTGGATCCCCCTCTGCGACGGAGCCAGGGCAGAAGGTGCCGCGGCGACCGCGCGACTTCAGTCCGCTGCAAAGTCTTCAGTGTGCCCTGTGCTTCCTCTTCTTGTGTTTTTTATCCTTCTTTTTGTTGGCACACTTGGAGCAGAACCATTGTATCTCTTCTGGGGGTGCAGTCGTAATCCCAACGCAAGGCCTGTGAAGGACAGGAAAATATCATATCATCTCAGTGGAGTAATGTTACTTTTGTTTCTTACCCAAAGAAATGAAACTTTTCAGTGGGAGACAGGATCTGGCCTTCAAACTAATACAGCAATTATATTATCATTATCTTAAAGAATATAATGATGGAACAGAAACCTAAAAAACACTTGAAACAAACAAAAAAATGTATCGAAAGGACACTCAGATAAAAAATGTTATTTTAACAGAAAATACGAGCGCACTTTCAGGTATAATAGGCTAGATTTAAAATCATTTCAAATGCTTCTTTAACACATCTGCAGAACACCTTATGATTTTATGTAGCTGTTTAAGAAAACGCCTAAAAAGTGATTAATTCCCTCCAACCCTTTTATAAGAGCTGACATTTATATTACTGTTCATACAATGCTTCATAATTTGAAATGTCTATCTGTATACACGATGCTCATAATCCTGTAGTTCTCACAAAATGACCAGAATCAGCAATATTTCCCAGCAGTTTCAAAACCAACTGTTATCACCAATGCCCATTAATTAAAAAGTAACTCTCCTTCACAGCTTAAAATCTGCTTTTTCAAATTCCAGAGAAACAGATAAAAATATCTTCCAGATTATTAAATTGGACACAGTAAACCCATTCAAATATTCCCGGCGTCACGAACCATAAAAAAAAAGGGTTTTAATAATATAGCCCCAATCTGCCAGGGAACGGCAGAATAGGATGGATGAGAGCAACTTACCAGTGATACCAATCATCGCAGTCATCACAACCTATCATTGGACTGCCATCATCTGGCTTGTTACAGCCAGGACAGATCCAGATCTGGTTACCCCACTCGTCTCGGATCTGGTGCAAAGGAAAGGAAAGTTAGCTGGTTTTCAGGGCCAAGCAGGCAGCAAAATTGACATTAAAAAAAAAAAAAGTTTCTTGCTTATCTGACAAAGCTATTCAGCAGCCACTGTTGTTATTTATGAATTCTTTGATCATAAGTGCTCGGCGTTATGTTTCAATTTATTTTTCTATACTGTACTTGTTGAGCAAAGCATGCATTTTTCTGTATTGTCCTGTAAACCAGCAAAGCCAGTTATACCACCCGACCTAAGCACAGGCATTCACATATAGCAGCCAGGGCTTAAGGACACAATTCCTTCTCTGTCTATACTATTGCGACTTTTAAAATTCTACCCTGTTAATGGCAAGAACAAGCAACGGCAGCCTCCTGCGTAAGATAACAGTCTTATATGCATGTAAAATATACAGTGCCATGTGTATATATTGCCGTATTACTTATTAGCCAAAGTCTTCAACTTCAACTAACTGATAAGATCAGGATATAAAAAAAGTTGTTACTGAGTAACTTTCCATTCCCCTTATGACATTTATGTCACAGTACAATTTACTAAAGGGTAAACGAAATAAGAGAGGCAGATCATTTACAGTCTTAGGCAGCTGCTTACTGGATAAATCCATATTCAGAGCTTCACGAAATTTTTTTAATGTTTATATCCTGTATGTTAGACACATTATTTGTATTTTTAAATTTCAAGTGGTTTCTTTAACAGTTCTTTGGTAAAAACATACATGCAAAATGTCACGAAATCCACCCAAAGAAGTGCAATTAACAATACAAAGTACAAAATGTCTGGGTTGTTACCCTGATTTCATCATTCTTTTATGAAGATTTGCACATTATCACTGAATCTCAAAAACATAAACTGTTTTGTTCTCAGGTTTTGTGCATTAGTGCATTTACACATATCTAAGGCAATAACTTTTTGCTATCTGTACAGCTTACAAAAATGATAGTAAAAAGTAGTAGATGAAAAGCCCCAAATGCTCTTAGGGGGAAAAAAAAACCACTACACGGTGGTCTGTACATCTTACACCACTTCCCGAAAAATCAATAGGAATGTACCAGAGCTGCAATCAACACATCACTCTTGACCGACTCCTCTTAAAGCCCTGAATTTTTTTTGTGATTTAAAACTAGAAAACACAAAGCCCAGGAATACTATGCAGGGAACAATCCCCTTCCCAACAGCAAAATGGAGTAGGCAACGTCATAAAATGAACCCGATTTTAGAGCTGATTGATTGCAATAATCATTCCTATCTACTGTCCTGGCATCTAATCTCACATCTGCAAAGCCATTTTAAGTTGGTAGAGAAGCATCAGCTCTGCAGGTGAACTGTCTGCGCTTGGCGTGAAGAGGTCCATAGTCATTTCCGTGGCGTAATCCTGCTGGGGAAGGAGGAGACGCTGTGCCATGGTGCTGCAGAGAAGCAATGCTGTGGGCTGTTGGGCTGACAGCTACAGCCCTTTACAACCTGCTTGAGCAACCTGGCTGCACCCGCACCATCCTCCGGCACCGGCACTGGCACTTGCCAGGCACCCCATCCACCGTGCCGCCTGTTCTAGGCACTGGTGGTGCCTGATGTTGCCCCATGAGAAGATAGATACCCTAACTTTTCCAAACTTAGTTTTTCAGGGGTATGTTTGTCTGTAGAATACCTGTCTCAGGCTTTCAGGGGCTGGAGAGGGACAGGGCCCTATAAGCACTGAAACTTCTGCCTGTTTGTTAAACAAGAAATTGGACTGCTGAATGAGGATGTTAAAAATATTGTGAAACTTCTCATTCCTTAATGAGCCAAGGGTCATGGAAGGAGGGACAGTTTGTGATTGCTGAATGCTATTTTAGTACAAACCGCTGAGAGTTAATGATCAGAGCACGCTTACTGAGATGCTATCCTACAGGGAGATCCCACATTGTATCTTTTTTTTTTTAAACTATAAGATCATCTTCCTGTCCTCCCCTGCAGAAGGGAGTTGTGCACCTCTGTCACGCTGACTCCAATCTTGTCTCTAGAAGAGCTTTCCTGTGCGACCTGGGGAAAGCCATTTCATCATTCTGTGTCCTGCATTCTCTTCATACAAGGGGCTAATAGTTATTAATTATTCCCTTCTTCCCCAACCTCTCTCTCAGCTTTTTGACTTATAAATGTCTCACATCAGGAGTCTCTCTGCCTGTGCACATAGTTGGATCCTAAGACAGTAAAGCCCTGGTTTCAACTATGATGTTGTAAAAGAAAGAAGTAACTTGGAGCCTACGTGTCCTCTGAATTCTCCACAAGGTGCTAAGAGTGTTACCACTAGAAGTACCTAGGAAAAGTTCTAGGTTTTCCTTCTTTAAACTAACATAATCTCTAAATTATTTGCTTTTAATGCCTACTGAAGAAAATTGGATGTAGTACAGTATTTTGAAAATGTTTCTCTCTTAGAGCGGATTTCCAAGCTTCTGGGCACTACTGTAATACATGAGTGACACTTCATTTACACCTGTGATACACAAGGTGAGGATGTGTATCCTGCACCCTAAAGACATGCCCAGCCTATGTGCGATCATCTAGTGCTGTAACCAACTCGGGAGTGAAATGTAGCAGCTGTTTAAATAGAGACCAGTAACACGATACAGCAGTTTAAGTCCAGCAGGGAAGAGCACCTTTTCCATTAGAAACAGCAGGGTAGATTTACACTAGGAATCATTATAAAAACAGGAATAAAAAAAAAAGAGAAAAATCACGCATATGTTGCAATTAAAGCACAGGAAACTCTGTAAGAAAAGCTAGTTCCAGGTGTTTTAAATGGTGAGATTTTTAAACTGCTACCCACTACAGATAAGCAAGGTGTCACCAACCAAGCTGGAACTTAGCCAGGACAGGGAGGATAACAATACTGCTACCGTTGTTAATGGTATCTGCTGCTCTTCAACGACCAGAAACGGTCAGGACTTCCATTTTACATTGCACCCAAAGCAGAAATTTTCAGTATCACAGCAATCCTAGTCCTGCCCAGAGGTATGTCCATGTTCGTTTAGAGAATGCAGTTCTTACATCACGTTGGATAGGAGACTTTTCTAAAGGAATGAAGTCTTAATGCTACCAGAGAGAGGCCAAGTTCAGAGAATATGTCAAACAGACTAATGAACTGTAGACTAATGAAATATGTACAGACTTTCTGAGCTGTGCAAACATTTGCAATTTCTGTATTGTTGAGGAAACCAGAAAAGAGATTAGCAGACTCTCCATGTTTCAAATGAGGGCTAAGTGAAATTCTTGATGTTGTATGAGGGTTTTGTACTTCACCTGACTGACAGCAAAATCTATGGCGAATTTGACATTTGAGGTTTCAATTCAGCACTTATAAAAGCATCTATAAAAAATTTCCACCTCCAAAAAGAAATGCTCTAGCTCAGTTAGCAGAAAATACCAAGTGGGATATAACCGGACTTGTTAGAAGAAACTTAAACATTGAACTGGGAACACAGAAAAAAATTCGGTCCAAGTAGTAGTGTTTTAATTAAGTTATTAACCCCTCAAAAGCCCAGGTACCATCAGTTTGAGATGATGAGTCACCCAGGAGCTCAACAATTCAAGAGATGAATGTCAGTGGCACCGGGACACAGCACGGCAGTATGTGTTACCTACCACGTAAGTACTGACGGTCTCGGTCACCACGCTCCTAACCGGAGCTTTGGAGCCTCCTGCCGCCGAGACGGCTGGAGAGGGCGGTGGGATCAGGACAGGCGAGACGGTAGCCTGTGGAGGAGGAGGAGCTGGAGCTGGAGGAGGGGTGACATGAACGGGAGCTGGTACTGGTGACGGCACGGGTGGAGGGGTTTTGGGCCGGCTTACAGGAGTAGAAGGTTTGGCCTCTGGAGCTGGCACCACTTTGCTGATGACTCTGTAGGACCAAAAATGAGACTCGTTAGAGTTGATGGGAAAGAAAGCAACGATTGACCACCAACTAGATATAAAGAAAATATAGTGCAGCTAATTCACATCACCTTTGAATGATTGAAGAGGCTGTTTCAACCCAACACAAGAGCTGTTGTCATTGCTACACCCATCCATTGGACACGATAAAGCACAGAGCCATTACAAAGTGAATGCCAGAACAGCCTGAGCCACTCTATAGCTCGCTGTCATATAAATATTCTCTGTGGCTTTACTAAACCTTGTTTCGTTAAGTTTTATTACATTAGCTCAATTTGTGGGAAATATTAGAAAGGAAAGTTAATCAGCTGTGAACAGCACTGATTTTAATCTTCAAACTGAGAGACGATACCATCCTCTTAAGATCCTACATTAGGGGGTTCTCCAAATATTTGCTAGTTTGGTATTTTTTTCCCCAAATGTTTATGAAATCAGCAGTGGATCTAGTCAGGACAAATAAATGACGCACACTATATACTCAGCAGTTAAAATATTGCTACTTACTCGAGTAGCTGAAGTAGACAGGATGTAGCTCTAGTAAATACACAGTATAGAATAATCTTGCCCAGGAAGGGGGATACATAGAGGACCCAACATTTATTAATGAATGTTGATACACAGTGTTATTGATGTGCATGCAATTTAATGGACAAGACAGAAAAAGCCCTTACTATAAGGTTCTAGATTAGAAACATAAAGAGAAGGAAAAGGATGTTTTAGAAAACAAAACAAAAAAACCTCAAACAAAACACAGGATAGGTCTATTTGTTTTACCACATTTTGGTAAATCATTTAACTAACTTATTTATACTTGAATGGTAACTGTGGGAGTGCAATTGATTTGTGATGGGACTGTAGGAAGAAGGCGATTTAAGGAAAGGTTAGACATTCCAGAGAGGAGGATATCTTAAGAAAGCAAAACACGGAGACATCAGTAGGAAACGCATGACGAAAATCAAACTGCAACAACTCCTGAGAACCAGGAAAGTCCAGCTCCATCGTCAATGGGAATTTTACATTCAACTTTAGAGTTTCCTGCAACTCTCTTATGATATTCAAAAGGCAGTATCACTACAATCGGAGACATTGTCTGCATTTCAAGTCAATAATCCAAGCCATCATTTGAGAAAGGCTTGGAATTATACAGTATTTAATGCTTGGCTGAGATAATATTGTTTTTCTCCCAAGATATAGTGTTTTTCTCCCAAGATATGCCACTTGCACTACTAAATCAGAACTACGGCAAGTTATAGTAAAAACAGACTTAGTAAAAGGAAACAGAGCAACGGGCTTGGTATTCCTGCCTAACCTGCCAACCGTTGCATCACACCTCCCTTCCGAGACCTACTGCGAGTGACTAGGGGAAGAAAACCAAAACCGGGGAAGTTTAGAAACTCAGAGTGGAGTAGAATCTAAAAAGCGTTAGATGATTTTCCATCAGCAACACTGAAGGCATTCACACCACTTGACGTCTAGAGATTGCTTCAGGTACCTAATCTGGGAGCTCGGCTCTTTACATGTGTCAGTAAGGTGCTAGACTGAGTCAAAGCGCAGGACTCGTAACTTAAATTGTCTGTGACGTGCAGAAGGAAGGAACTCCTATTATCAGGCCATCCTGGGAGCAATCTACACCTCAAATCCGGCCTCCTTCTCCTGTTAGTGGGTACATCTGAGAAGCCACTGTTATCTCCCACCAAGAAAGTTTTCTCTTTGGCTCTTCAATGCCCATGATGTGTTTCTGGTTCAACGAAAGTCTTAGCGCGTGGCTCCCTGGGGCTCTGCCAGACTGGTCATCCCAATTCAGACGCTTATTCTGTGCCTTCCTCCTTCCACTGCTCCCACAGAGAGCCCTGGCTCCCAACGCTGAACACCCAAGACCTTGGTTGGTGGCAATACTCCCATGGTTTCCAAAGTTACCCTCACAACTTGAGAGCCACCTCTCAATAAAAAAAAATCTTAGCAGTAATAAAAGCGAGGAGAGGGACAGACAGCAAAATATTTTGCACAGCGAAAGTAATTTGGACGGTTTCAAACATCATTACCCCTTCATTCTCTGCCTCCCACTTCTATCCCCTCCAAGTAAACAAAGTCCTGCTATGAGTTCTTCAGGGAGTCAACCCTCCCTGAGTCTAGACTAGGAAATGTATTAGCTAATGGGATTTTAAACACAACTTTGCACGCAGTGTAAACAGTTTTAAAGAAGTATTAGCTAATATAATTTGAATAAGAGTGACCATGCCCAGCTAACATATGAAATTAAATTACATAGTTTCTTGGTCTAGATAAAGCCAGGTTTTCCTCCTGAACAGGGTCTTCGAAGCCAGTCTGCTAATAACTGCAGAAGCTACAAGGAACATCACATACGAAATCTTCCAAAACTACAAATATTCATTAGCGGGCGACACACACTCATTGATTGGCTGGTTTGCTTGAAGTGTGCAATTAGGCCATGTTCAGTATATAGGGCAGCTTGTTTATCTTGATTTTAGAGCTCAGTTATCAAAACAGGAGATCGGCATTTCAGAGCACGCTTGGGCCTACCACTCCCTTGGGCTAATGAAGTTCAGAGACTTTAGACTCCAGAGTGGAGAAATGAATGGCTTTGTGCTACACCATTAGAGGTGATGGAGTAATCTCACGAGGGTGGTTTAGCCTGTCCTCCGTCCTGAAGAAGGGGCTGCATACATGGCAATATGGAGGTGGGGAGAAATCAAAGGGAAATAGCAGTCCCACGACTAATAATTAATGTTACTTCAGACTTGGAGAGAAACCTGATATCAAAACACTATGTAAATGATGCCAAGATTTAAGAGCTCTATTTTATAGACAGGAAAAGTGAGGCACAGAGCACACTGCAAGTAGGCGGTACCCACTACAGCAAAGCTTCGATCCTCCTGCTACCTACGTCCCTGCTAGGATTTAAACTCTACATTTGGACATCACCATACATACATCATTATCTTCTTTCCCAAATGTGTTTTTCATATCCTTCCAAAATCAGCATTTGTATATTAAAAGTCTGCAAGTACAATACTAAGTAAGACAAAATTTCACCTCCTTCCCCACCCCAACTCAAAAACTCTAAAACTGAGGCTGGGTTAGTATTTTTTGAGCAATCAAATACAAATGAACATCAACCACCATCAACACACTCAAAGGCCCAAGACAAGAATTATACTTCTCTGCAGGCTGCTTGCCTGACAATATATCACAAACACGTTCTACACTGAAAGATAAAAAGTCAATTAAAGCTGTTTCTGAATCAAAATAGTTCCTCCAGAATGAAGGGGAATAGATGTGGTAATAAGAGCCTCCATAAATTATAATTAAATGTTACCACTCCCTTTAAGAAAAAACAGAATTAATGTAAACATTGTGTATCTGGTTGTGTCCAACCTAAATTCACTTCGGATTTCTTTTTAAATGCTAGCAGGGACTGTATTTCTTACAGAACCTCAGCACATTTATAACTGAATGCATGTATTGATACACCTCTTCATGATGGTAGAGTGAATGAAAACCCATTTTCATCATTACTCTGGGGCAATCACCCTGTTCACAGCTACAGATCCAAACCCAAACAGGATGAAAATGAATTGTCGGCTTGCAGGCAAAGTGCAAATTCTACCAAGAATCGCGACAGGTCAGTTGGTTTATAATCAGCCCTAACTGGCATGAGCTGTAACACGCTACATCTGGAGCAAAATGAGGCTCCAAGGTGTGAAATGGTTTCCTATCTTTGGAAGTAATTTATTTGATTTCATTCTGATCCTTACGGCTGAAAGCCCCATTGACTGCTTCATATAAACACAGGGAAAAGACATGCACTGAAAGGAAATGGCTTTTCAAAAATAGGATATGAGCCACAGGGCTGAATGATTGCTACGGGTGACGAGCTCCAAAAAAATGCTGTATCAGTACTTCGAAAAGTCTAGTAAAAACTCACAGCAATCTTTGTTTCTCAGAGGCAGAGCTCCAAAGAAGCTGTTTCTCTGCCCAAAGGAAAAACAACATTTGAAAAGTCCTAATTATTTTCTGAACCCATGATCCATATTTAAGCAAGGAGCAGGAGCTAAAGGGGTCTTTGTACATAGGAAAATGACACCATCAACTACACTGATGTAATTAAAACTAGTACAAGTCACTTGGGTTATTAAGAGTGATATTATTATCTATTAGTATTGATATTCCCTTACTGATGTAAGTTCCTCGATGCTAGAAAGTTAAGTGGTGTAATGATTTTATTGTTGAAAAATCTCACACCTGGAACTGAGATTGTTGCACCAGAAAAAGAATGAAATACTCTAAGACCTATGGGTAAGAGTGTCAAAAACACCCAGGGGAATTAGGAAGATTTCCATATGGTTTAGATTCTTCACAGATTAGAGGTGATTTTGAAAATTTTATTCCAACCCTGGAGGAGAATCAGTGTAATTTAAGCTCTGTAATGTAGGCTAATTCCCATATTACTCTTAGAAAGGGAAATTTAGGTTTTATCTCTTACGCTCTGCTGAGTATTTTATTCTGTGCAAACAAGTCATATTGGCAAATACAAGCTCCACAATTACACACTATGACCAACTCGTGTGTTTGCAGAGCGCCAAAATGTACCAAACCTCCAGTGGAGTCCCTAGCAATTTTGCAAGTGGAAAGATTTCAGTACTTAAACTTGAAATTAAAAAAATATAAATATTTTCATGTGATAAATTGCCTGCAACACGATATTCTTCTCTATCAAGGAAAATGAACTTTGAGCACTTACTCCATGATATCATCCAGTTTTGCGGATACTGCCTGGTCTCATACAAATGGCACAACTTCCACGTAAGCATGTTGACCTTCAATAGTGCACATGGAGCTCAACAGCCCATTCTCAATTCCATCAGTAGGGCAAAACCCCGCAAACGTCCCTTCCTGGGCAAATGAGTCTAGCGATTTCGCAGGCATCATGTCACCTAATCCCATTCA